GGATTAACAAAATTTTCAAATAAAATAAAGAAAAAAGAAATAAAATTGGACTTAAACAGAAAAACTCCGGTCAATATTCTTTTGATCCAAGTATTTCTAATAAAAATGTTTAAATAACAAATTGTATGCAATTTGTATGAAAATAAATATAGAAAATAACAATGTTTCCTATTACACATAAATAATTAGAACTTTATTGAGTATTAAAAAAATGCTTGAATAAAACTAGAATTATAGTCATTATATATAACTAATAGAATAAACAAAAGAAATGATATATGTTTGTTGATTAAATATTAGATTTATATGTAATTATATATAAGAATCTAGAATGACATAATTGAGTTTGAACTCATAAGAACTAGATTTGCATGTAGTTAGCAACATAAATTGGATAAACTTTATATAGGTAATTACCGGAGATTAGTTAGCCAATTATAGTTTAAGGCCGCGTTTTTGCAACTGGTATTTACATATTAGTATAATTATTATTATTAGTTGCAAGACTTTTATATATATAAGGATAAAATAAAACGAGTAAACATTTTTAGTGTTGAATAAAAATAAAATAAAACGTGATTGAAGGCTATGGGTTTCTCTTTTCAAGACCGTCAATAGTTTATACAAATAGTATTTCTAAAGTCTATGAATGAACGTAAAAAGAAATCTATATAAAAAGAAACAACTCAATTTGGTAAACAAATATTGAATAAATTCAATGCGCATAAAGTAGTGAACATGTATATACCGTAATACCCTCAAATAGTGCGGCTTCAATCAGTGCGGTTTTATTATAGTGCGATTTGAAAACAAAATAAATTTTAATGGAAATTCTAAATAATTGTTACACACTTGTTTTTATAGTTCATTTATAATTATTTTTCTATACACTGAAGTCTTTTTATTTTTATGTAGTTTTAAAGTCCTCATTTAGTGCATTTTCAAAGAGTACAGTATATTGACGCAATAGATTATCCGCAGTAATACCTCAAATAGTGCGGCTTTAATCAATGCGGATTCATTATAGTACGGTTTGAAAACAAACTAAATTTTAATGGAGATTCTAAATAATTGTTACACAAAAATATTTTTTTATAAATAATTTATAAGTTTTTTACTATATAGTCAATCCTACATATTTTTAAACAGTTAATACCTCAAATAGTGCGGTTTCAATCAATGCGGATTCATTATAGTACGGTTTAAATTAAAAATAATATCAATTATTTATTATTATTACAATTATTTATTATTACTTCTTTTTTTTTACAAGGTTTTAAAGTCTTCGAAAAGTGCGGTTTCAAAGAGTGCGGTATATTGACGGAAATTGCTTTAAAATAATATATTTAGGGCAATAAACAGGTTGCAATTATATGTTATTAAAATCTTTAAGTCATTGAAAATAAGTCACAAATAAATAAATATTTCATAATACTATTGAGAATGATAAATCTGAATATGTTTTGTATCGTCTTTCGTTATTTCTAATATATTTCATTGAAACATCCTGAAAAATGTTTTTGTCGAGTATTAAATGAAAAATTAGTAAAATTTCTTGTAAATTGCATCAGATATTATTGGAATATTTTCAAAAACTATTTATAGTTTGTGTAAAATCTACAATAAAGGAATAATTAGAAGAATTGGTTGAACATTGATTGATAATACGGGTATTTTACTTATATAATCTATTATAAATTGAATTACGTAAGAGTGCTTTGTTTAACGTTCGATTATTAAGAGTTATCCGTAGCTTAATTACTCGTTGTTATGGGATTCTGTCGAAGCTGTTTCTTTTGATCTTACCAAAAGGTAATTTATTGTGCAACCCGGGAACACCTCAACTGACGTGGGTTTCGTAAAAGGAATGTCCGACTTTGCGTTTTATAATTATTAATATATAGATAGAAAGAGACGATTATTATTACTATATAGATAGACCATTTTTTCTTTTCGGTAGGCGTTTTCTAATTAAGAAAAGGGAAAATCGCGCGGATAGATTGGATTTCGTCGTGGGGCAAAATGGCGCCGCCGGCTCCGAAACCTCATTGTTTCTATACTCAGTAGGGTTTTATTATTTTTTTCCTCTCCCTTCGTTTCTTGCTGCCCCATTCGGGGTTGGAGATCGGTCAGAAAGGGAGAGAGAGACAAGAAGAAAGAGAGAGAACCCATATTAATTTGGAGCTTGTACCTCGACTTCGTTCCTCTATTTCGTGCTCATTTTTTTTTGTTTTGGTTTGTTTCGGTTCTGCTTCTCTTTATTTTTTTTGGTGGTTCTTAGGGGCTCCGACGATGGTGACCTTGCGGCTTTTTCGGTCCCAGACTGTCGGTGCAATTGTTGTTTATGTCTATAATATGCAAGATCATCGTCGGGACAATGAGGAACGCCGCTAACGGGCGTTCGGAGTCCTTTGAGATCGAAGACCGACGCGGACTTCTTTCAATGTTTATTTACCAAACCCAAATTGTTTACCGCTCGTCGCGATTGTCCGTAATGAACAAATCAAGGGGCATTCAATTAGACCGGAGGCTTCGAAAGCCGCAAAAGCTTCAACAATTATATGAAACTTATTGTTGGATGTTCCTTTTCACTCTCTCTATATGATCATAAAGTACATCACAAGATTAACAGGTTTTTCAATACATCTTCATAACCAACTAATTCATAGTTAAACAAAGTGGATAAGTTGTACTGGTGATCATAATACATCACAAGTGTAAAAGGTTTTCAATACATTTTCATAACCATCCAACTTATAATTTAGTTAAGAAAACGTGTGTAGTGGATATAAGTTGAATTGGCAATCTTAGTCTAACAGGTTTTCAATACATCTTAATATAAAGTATAGTTAAGCAACGTCTGTACTGAACATATGATCAATTTGTGATTATAGTTTATCACAAGTCTAAAAGAATTGCAATACATTTTCAACCAATTTATTATACAGTGAAGCTACGTGAGTAGTGGATAAAAGTTAAATTGGTGATCATAGTACATCACGAGTCGAACAAGTTTTCAATACATCTTCATAGTCAACCAATTTATACTACAGTTAAAAAACGTGCGTAGTGAATATAAGTCTAAAAGTTTTCAATACATGTTCATAGACAACCAACTTAAACTATAGTTCAACAACATGCGTAATGGATATAAGTTGAATTGGTGATCATAGTACATCATGACAATATGTTTTCAATACATCTTCAATGCTAAACAAACTATGGTATAGTTAAGGAACGTGCGTATAATTTGGTGATTGGTAAATATAGCAGATCTCGATCAATCAACATATTTTCTATACATCTTTAAATCCAACTAATTTATAGTAGATTTAAGAAACATACGTAGCAGATATAAGTTGAATTGGTGATCATAGTATATTATGACACTAACAGGTTTTCAATACATCTTCAGTGCTAAACAAACTATAGTATAGTTAAGCAACGTGCGTATAATTTGGTGATTGGTAATTATAGTAAATTGCGATCAATCAACAGATTTTCAATACATCTTCACAGCCAACTAATTTATGGTAGATTTAAGAAACGTACGTATATAAGTTGAATTGGTGATCATAGTACATCATGAGACTAACTGGTTTTCAATTTATCTTAAGAACTAACCAAACTATAGTATAGTTAAGCAACGTGCGCATAAGTTGGTGATTAATAATCATAGAACATCACGAGTCTATCGAGTTTTCAATACAACTTCATAACCAATCCAAAGATAGTATAGTTAAGCAACGTGCTTACTGGATATAAATTGAATTGATATTCAGAACCATTTTGTAAAGTTTGAAAAATGCACAAAATACACAATTTTAATTATTTAATTATAGACACAAATCACTGAATAATAAGCAACTAATATTCAAATTTGTGTTATTTTCTATAAATATTACATAATTTTATATAAAATTAAGAAGTATCAAAATCTTGGAATTGAAATTTGGGTATATTCATTAAAAATCAATACAAGCATTTTTTTCATTAATTATTATATCAAGTATAGTAAACAGGATTGTTTCTAGCTAAATATAAATTTTCAAATAAATCCTAACTTTAAAAGCAGACAAATATATTAAGTAATATATTTGATTGAAAACAGTTAATTTATTAATTAAAAATGCAAATTACGTTTATTGCACGTACAAAAAGTTTTTACCCAAACATTTTTTCAATCCTGGGATTGTTAGTAAAATCTCGGGATTTCCCGGGAATTCCTATATTTTATTTAATATCAAACATTTTAGAAATAGACTTCATAACAGGATATTTACATTATTACCTAATTATATTGAATAATGCTTTACAACTTTTCATACTATCAATAATTAATTCTCAAATCTTTGATAATAAAAAAAAAAAACAGTGAAATTTATATATTTTTTCCATTTGTTTACTTGGTTATCAAAAAAATATATATTTTTAATGGCAAATGTCCAATGTAGTTTTTATCAAATAAAAATATGTTTTCCAATAATTATGCAGATACTAATTATAAAAAAAAACTAATCATTAAATTAAAAAATATCTTTTTCGTTTCATTTATTTTTCGTAATTACGTATTGTAATTATGATATGATAATTACAATGAGTTTTAGTTTTTGTTATTTTTCAACTAAACAAAAAGAAATTAAAAAAAATTGAACACAATACAAATTTCTTATACATAATTTATGAAGTTTACATTGTGTGCGATTTATTTTTATGTGATTAAAGTTTTACGATTAGTCCAGTTTCAAACGCATTTTGGCGATATAGAATACCCGGACTATGTGAGATATTGCTGTAGTTTTATAAATAATGAGAATTATTGCTTAAGTCAAGAAATGTTTGAAGCAAATTTATAGAAAATACTATACTAAATATTTATTATTGCTAATAAAATTGATTATGTGCATAATTTGAGGAATAATACAAATTTGTTGGTTTCATACATAAAAATAAACAATTATAACTAAATCAATAATTTTATGTTCGTTTTTTTGTTATAGCAAATGGATCGTTTACACCAGGAATGGAACCGAAGAGACAGAGGACGGCGTACACGAGACACCAAATCCTGGAGCTGGAAAAAGAGTTCCACTACAACAGGTATCTGACGAGGCGGAGGCGCATCGAGATCGCCCATACCTTAGTTCTGAGCGAGAGACAGATCAAGATCTGGTTCCAAAACAGGAGGATGAAATGGAAGAAGGACAACAAGCTACCGAACACGAAGAACGTGAGGAGGAAAACGAACCCGGCCGGAGTGGCGGCGAAAGGGGGCGGCAAGGCCAGGGGTGGCGGCAAATCGCAGCAGACGTCCGGCGGAACACCACCCAACAACAACGACAAGAGGAAGAACAACAATCAGGGCAGAGGAGACATGGACGGTCTCGGCGAGAATATGCTGGACATGTCCCTTTCCGGCCACCAGATTCCATCGACGATCGGGGGACATTCCCATGCGCACCCCATGTCCAACACCAATCTCCACCATCCAGGAATGCTGCACGCCGACTCGGGGATGCACATAAGCTCACTCGCCCAATCCCTGACACCCCTGTCTTCATCCCCTGGCTGTGCGACCCAACAGAACCCCCCCATAAAATCGGACTACGGACTCACCGCCCTATAAAAAACAACCAACAACCCTCCTTCAAAACAAACAACAAGAAAAACTAGTGACCAAAAAAAAAACAACACCACCAGTGAAAGCTCAAAAAGTGCTTATGAAAAAAGACAGAAACAGTATAGTTCCCCCAGAATCCGCCGACAATACAAAAGTGAAAATATTTACACGAATAAAAAGACACTCCTTATTACTTGTTTCTTACATACATATATAATTTCTCTTTAGTCAGCATTATCCAAATATTGTAAGTCTCGAAAATTATTATTTTTTTTAACCATTATTATTACATTTTCTTTAAATAATTACTCCTTAGTGTAAATACAAGAAATTTAAACATTTTAGACAACAAATTTGTGCCATTTGTTTTAATTTAATTTAACTTAATTAACTTAATCATTGTTTTTATTTTAATTATTATTATTATTTGTTCCCCCGCCCTTAATAATCGTTACCAATTTATGCTAGGCAACAGCAGATGATAAGAGGAGATGTTGAAGAAGAAGAAAAAATGAAATTCTTATATAATTTGGATCGAAAAAAAGTTATAAATAAATAAAATAAAGAACGAGTTACTAAACTAAGCTTAGTATGTCTGTTTTGTGTATATTACGTTTGTTGAATATTGTGCATGTACTTTGTAATGAATAAGCCCAGTGTGATCATTATTATGGAAGATTTGGAAATTAATTCAATAAAAAATTTTAATAAAAAAAAAATACAAAATTTACAAAAAAAAAATAACAAGACCGCAGGAAGAGTTGGGTTCTGTACTTTGAGCCTTATTTGAACTAACCTTTAATTAATTAATTGATTTTTTTTAAATGTTAATTCGATATTTCCAAATTAAATTTACTTAAAGGTAAGATCAAAAAGAAGCTTCAAGTACCGGTCCCAAATATATTATATATATAGACATAAACTAAAAAAAAAAACAAATCTAAACTCGTAGGTTATATAATAATAATTATATAAATAAATCTCTATATATATATATGGACTGTAAATAATTTTTAGTTAATAAACAGAAAATATGTATACTTCTAAAAAAAATTGCGAAACCTCGTTTTTATTTTTTTTTACTCCTTTGATTGACGGAGCCGACATGTAAAATGTCCGCCTTGAAATGTCACAAATAAGCCATGAACTATAATTGCCTTCACTTGCATATCGCATCGTGACTCCGTTACATAAACAATACGAACAAACTATGATAAATAAAAGTTGAAGAATTGTGAGGAAAAGAGAAATATATAAAGGATGAAATGTATACGGATTCGTGATGTTCGTGTGGAGCTCGGACAACGATTGATCAACAAGAACGAAAGAAAGAAATGTGTGCGCGTTTACAATTTACAGTTTACTTTTCCAATTGATACGTATCATTGATGGACGTGAAAATACGAATAGGAAAAAAAGAAACGTCTGTGAATGTGTACGGTAATTATTAAATCGATACGACAAAAATGTGAATGCAATGTCCGTACACCTCTTTGAATGTTTGTTATTTCTTCTCCTTTTTTTAGGTCTCGTGTTTTTTTTTTGAAGTTTCGACATTGATATGTTTATTAATTGGTTGTATTTAAGTTGCTTGCTGGAGTTTTAAATACACATAAGGAAGTAGCTGGATTTTCTGTTGAAATATAAACACAAATCGCGTTCAAAAGTTTATAAAATCTTAGCAAAAAAAATAACTTTTACTTTAATTTTATTTAAATAGAAAAGTTTTATACATTTTTATACAAATAGTATTAATTAATAATATTAATCAAAAAGTTTTTATTTTAACAAAAAAAAAATCGTTGTTATTGAAAATAATCACATTTTTAAATAACTGTCTCATAATAGAACTGGAATATGTGTATAAGTCAAGAAGAATTTGTACTTGCTACAATAAACAAATACTTGAAAAGTAATAATGTTCTTTGCAAGTATTACATAACGAGTAATCATCTTAAGATACGGAGGATTGTTTTTTTTATCGTAGTACTTTTTTTTATAAATCAATTACAGCTTTTTATACGTAATTAATGAATATTGAACGAAATAACAAAATTCTATAAATAAAACTTACGGGGATTTATAATTGGTTCTAAATCTAAAAAACTTCTGCTTCAAATTAATATTTTCTGTTGAAATATATACATAAATCGCGTTGAAAAGTTTATAAAATCTTAGGAAAAAATTGCAATTGTATAATAATCAATAAAATAATTACATTTTTAAAGAACTTATCAATAATTTCATAATAGAAATGGAATGTATAAGTCAAAAACACTTGTACTTGTAACAATGGATAAGTACTAATGTACTTTGCAAGTGTTACATAACGAGTAATCATCTTAAGATATGGAGGAATATATTTGATTTATAATTAAATATTGTCCAAAGACAAAACATATAATACAAACACACAACATATTATATTTAATTTAGATACAAGCATCAACAAATCAATAACTTTGGGAATTACTTAATTCACAATATCTAGATTAACAGAAAAACTTTGGATGTTAGCATTTTAATCTTTAATTACTCGCGCACTGAAATTTCTATGTACTACTCGCGCGGTGTATTTTATACAGACGGAGTGCATAAATGTTTGTATTATGGAAAGAAAGAACTTTTTCATGTTAACTAATGCTTATTTATTAGATTAATAATTATTTGTAATACATTAAAATAATAATTTCTTAATCAGAATTGTCGTCATTGCCCTCTATATAAGGGTGAGTAGAGGTATCAGCATCGTCTACTGTTACACCAACACTCCAGAGCAAGAACTAACATGCATAAAAACAACTTCTTTGTATCGCATTCAACACAATGTTGCACCGGCAATTAGTAAACACTTTGGGCGTAGGTTATGTAAGTGTCAGAGATGAGGGAAAGATAATATAGATATGATATCATTTCTTAGAAAATTGGTGTACTTTTTACACGGGCGCGAGTAGTTAAAGTTACAATCTAATAACTAGATAAAATTGTTGATTTTCTTAATAAATATATAAATAAGGACTGAAAAATTAAGATTTTGTTCAAATTAGGGGTAATAACAATAACAACTGTTATAGATAAAATATTTAATGTACACAATTTAAAGGAATAGTACATTTCTTAGTCATTGAAGAAAATTGATACTTATTGCAATTAAAACAGTGCTAAAAATACAAATAGGAATATGAGTCACCAAGTTATTCTTATACAGCTAACATGAATGCGTTACTATTGATTTTCTGAAATAAATTTGCCGACGGACTTTCAATTTATTTTCTGATGAACAAAGTATCTCTAAATTTTGATTTAATCTTTAACTTTATAACTAAAATTTGTACAAATTGGGACCAATAAAAATTTGAAAATAAATAAATTTATAAAAAAAATAATTCAATATCAAAAATAATAGTGCAACAAAAGATTTATAGAAATGAATAATTTATTATATTATGAAGTTTCAAATTTTGTACAATTTTTGTATAGGAATTGGAACTTTCTTAATAAAATAATAACGAATTGTACTTTATTAACTATTTGAATTTTAGTTACAAATTTCCTAAGTCAATAAGAAAATCAATGTAACTAAATAATAATAGAAATACATACGTTTTTATAAAATCATAATATAATTAAAAATTCAAGATTTTTTTTACAAAAGGATACAGTTCATATTTTATGTGACAAAAAGGTAAGTATATAATTAAAGTATTTATGTACATTTATTATTTATATTTAATTATTTATTTAAAAATTTGTATAGGACTAAAAGGGTTTTATTTAATTTCTAATTTTAGGACTAAAAATTTCCATTAATTCATGAAATATTTCATTCAAATCAATGAAATATTTCAGTATTTATTCATAAATTTCAATGTAGAAATTATGTCTTTTTTTCTATGAAATTTTTGTTGTTGAATTATAAACATACAGATTGAGTTATATCAAGTTATTTTACATTTTTTTCTTATAATTAGTACTAACTAATTTGTTATTATTAACCAATTTCTTCAGTCAACAATAAATATTGTTCTAGTCTTTTTATAAATTTGTTTAACTTATTACATAATGTTTGTCAAAGAACAATAATCCATGTAATTACATTAACATTATACTTCTCTTTGATTATATAATGTTTGTCGAATTACACAAAAATTAGACTTTTTGTTGTTGATATATTACTAATATTTCTTTATGTGACAGAGTTATGTTACAGTAATTTCATTATTCCATCGATTGGGAATGGTGGGCCCACCCAGCTGGACGTTTTCTCCTGTTTATCTGTGCGTTATTCATCGGAACTTGTTATTCTACCAAATCATCGTTGTTATACTTGAGTGACATATTATTAGGTCTCTAATAATCCGGTTCGGTCCTTCCAGGTACCAACATTCTCTACTCCTTTATATATCGTTTTATCAATATATGCTAATTCCACAAATAAAAGAAATACAAACAAAAAAAATGCATGAGCGATAGATCAATTTCAATCCAATTAAATTGTAGTTAATTAAGGATTTCCTGATTATGCGCATATCCCGTAATTCGCTAAACGCAGGAAGCTAAAGGTTTTTAATTAATTAGACGTATAAGCAATCATCAAATAGACATTAATTATCGGTATTTAATATGTAAATATATAGTTAGTTTATATAAATATTATACTTATTAGTGTTACTTTTTTACAAATCAGTTATAATAAAGAGAAAAAATATATTTAAATTGCACAGAAAGAAAAATCAATAATTTTTTTTTATAGATTTTAGTATTTGTTCTATTATTAATATAATTAAATTAAATATTAAAATTATTAATGAAACAACGTTACAGTTGTAAAAAAATATGACCAAAATTGAAATATTAAAACAATACTTTAGCAATTAATAAAATGGACAAACTTATTTTAATTATAAAATGTAAATATTTTTTGTAATTTTATAATTGAATGACAAAAATTAATATGATTTATAAGAAAGGATTAAATAATGAACTTTATAAAAAAAAGTTCCGTTCCAAATTAGTTCCGTTCCAAAGGGTTGTTCGTAAGTCGAATTTGTTCGTAAGTCAGGGGAATTAAAAAAAAAATCAAAATATACCTATCTTACCATACTTTATCATGGTTTATACTTTTATATATGTTAAATTCCGTATTACTGACTGCATACATTTGAAAAAAATAGATTAAAATAAACAAAATACTAACTTACAAATACTTTTCAATGTAGACATAACAATAATTTAATAAAAAAAACGATAAAAGAAACAAATGCAACAAATCAG